CGACCCAGACTCGCCGACACCTCGCTGGTAGATCGGCGATGGGCCTCCGATGGTGCATCCGCACCCTTCCTGGGCAGGATGGGGCCATCGGGCCCCACATCGGCGATCCATGGGCGGCTGGGGGTCCATGCCTATCCCCCACTAATGCCCATCCCCCCCCTGTCGTGGCCCCCCTTTCTGCGCTCCGAGGTTGCCTCTGAGCTACAGAGATCCCCCCCTGTGCCCATCCCCCCCCTGTGCCCATCTCCCCCCCCCCTGCGCCCCTCCCCCCCTGTCGTGGCCCCCATCTTCGGCGCTTCGAGGCTGCCCCTGAGCTACAGAGGTCGCGGGCGGCCCTTTTTTCTTCACCACGAGGCACGCGCCCGCAAGGGCGGGCGGGGCGCTCTGCCTTGCAAGGGGGGGGGGGGCGCTCTCCCCGTGGTGAGAGGGAACGCTCGCATGGCTCGTGACGAGGAGGCGAGAGGAGGGCGTGGTGGAACGTCGCGGACTCATCTTCGGAGTCGTCCCGTTCTGTTTTTCTACTCTTCCTCCTCCTCCTCCTCCCCCTCCTCCTCCTCCTCCTCCTCCTCCTCCTCCTCTTCCTCCTCCTCCTCCTCCCCCTCCTGCCCCAAGACAACCTAGGAAGGACCACCCACGAATCCCCGATAGTGCTGTTTCATCCGAGAGAACCGGAATCCCGATGAATGGCCTCCTCCTTCCTGCTCGCCCTCCCCCTGGAGGGCTGATACTTTCCAAATCAGAGCTATCACTGAACACTTCCTGGAACTTCATCACCCTACCTCCTTGCGCTTCTTTGAGCAAGAAGGATGAGGGGCGGATCCTTTTCAAGACGGGACATCGCCTGCGTGGACGCCCACTGGGCAGGGTGCAGCCCGCAGTGGACAGCAGCACTTGCAGGAACTTCTGAGGAGGGGACTTCGCACGGGAGTGTGTATTACAGCATCGTTGGATTTACTCTGGTCCTCATCCTCATCCACTTCCAATCTGGTTTGTCGAAAACTCATCCCTGTTGTACAAGGAAGGTGCTTCGTGAGGGCGGACCGAGCGTCTCGCCCGACACCTCTCCACAAAGCATGCTCTCGAAGCTCGAAGCTCCCGACGAGTATGGCAATGGAGCCACGGCGCGCCTTCGCAGGACAGGCTTCACAAAAACGAAAAAGATGGAGAGCTGGTGGTTTCCAGAGCGCTGTTCTCGCATTACAGTGCGGGCGCGGCCGCAAGAAACCCTCGCGAGAAACCCAACCCTGAGAACCCGTACGCGAGGTGCACCCGAGGGGAAACCCCGAGCACCCTGAACGCAGCAGCTTCTTCCGCGGCTGCGGGAAGTCACCGCGCAGCGCGAGGAGCGAAGAAACCCAGGACACCCCGACAAAAAGCAGATGGTTTCTTGATGCGCGCCCCCACTGTAGCTCCGCGCATATACGCTTCCAAAAGTTTCCAGCGAACACCGAGGTTGGCGGGCAGCTCGTTCTCAAACTGTCTGTCTCGCTCGGGCGCTGCGCACCCTCGTCTTCAACACGTCCTTTTCAGAAGGGCGGCCCTCCTTTTTCCCAAATCGGCTGAACTGCAAAGTGATCACTTGCTTGCGAAGAAGCCGGTGGGTGCCAGACCCAGTCGCGTCGGGACTCCCCGGGGGGGTCCGCGGTCCTGTCTCCCTACAACGAGGTTCCCAAGGGCTTCTTGGTCTCGATTCCTTGCCAGGCGTTGCGCAGGTTCTTGGGTTTCTCGGTTCCTCAGTTCCTTGGTTCCTGCATCTTGGCTCCTCGTTTAATTGGTCAGGGTTTCTTGGCTTTGGTTCCTGGGTTCCTTAACCGTGGTACCTCCGTTCCTTGGTCTTGGACTTGGTGAATTGGTTCCTCGGTCTTGGCTCCTTGGTTCATCGGTTCATCGGTTCATCGATTCCTCGGTTCCTCGGTTCTTTGGTCTTGGTTTCTGAAGTATTTGACCCTGGTTCGTTGGTTCCGTGGTCGCGGTTCGCTCGTTCTCTGGTCCTGGTTCTTTGCTCTGGATTCCTGTCAGTCTGACCACGCAGTGTCACGCAATGTCCAGCAACGCCAAGCAATGCCAAGCCATGCAGAGCAATGCCAGGCAATGCCAAGCAATGTCAAGAAATGCCGCGTAATGCACAGCAATGCCAAACGATATGCCAAGCAAAATACCAAGCAACGTACAGCAACGCACAAAGCAACATGCCAAGCAATGCCAACCAATGCCAACCAGTGAGCCAAGCAATCTGCAAAGTACTATGCCGAGCGCTTTGCCAAACAATGCCAAGCAATGCCACGCTATGCGCCCATGCAGCAGGAATACGTCCCGTAATTGGGATCGCGCCAGGTTCATTGAATGAGGCGATCGCTTGGAAATTCCTCGTCGTAACTTATGACAAGAAGATTGAAATTGTGCAACGCTTACACGGATGGAAGGCAGATCTGTCTCAACTCGGAGCTATCACTGAACACTTCCTAGAACTTGATCTCCCTACCTCTTTGCGTTTCCGTGAGCTGATAAGAAGGATGGATCCTTCACAAAACGGGGTCCCACCTGAGTAGAAGCCACCAAGCGCTCGTCACTCCAGGGGGGGAGTTTCGCGCACATGATCAAGGGGATCCCGCAGAAAGGAATACGTGTACGAACTCATGAGGAAGGAGCTTGGAACGGAAGGGTGTGTTGAAGCGTCATTGATGCATCCTGGGTAAACTCTGGTCCTCCTCCTCCTCGGTCTCCTGTACTCTTATACTCCTTCTCCTCATCCCTCCTCCTCGTGCGGGAGGGAGAAGAAGGGGAGGGGAAACAGCACCAGCAGCATTAGCAGGGAGGTCGGGGGGAGGAGGGTACTTGTCCTTGGGCACACCCAGGCAGGTCTGTACGCTCGCTTGGGCCTCACTCCACACTATCTTACTGACTGTGCGCCCCTCCCATTTCATTCATGCTGTGCATGTTTCATTGATGCTGCTGCACTGCAGAGCGCTCAGAAACCACGAACAGCCATGCGGTCAAATTATGTCGAACGTAAAAACAGCATGAGCGAGAGGACACCCACTGCCCGAAACGACGGCCACGAGGCATCACAGTGTAACAGGGTGCCGAAACAACGTCCATCCTCCCAGCCGCAGCGGCCGCGCGAGTCGACTGGCGGAGAACCCACAGGGGCGTCACCGCAGAAAGCGGACTCCTCCTCCTCCTCCTCCTCCTCATCCTCATCCTCCTCCTCCTCCTCCTCCTCCTCCTCCTCCTCCTCCTTCTCCTCCTCCTGCCAAGAAGGAAGATCCGCGCAAGGGTCGGCCAAAAATCGGCCCCCAGACCTCTCCGGACGACGATCGGGAAAACCGCTACGACGAAGACGACGACGACGACGACAACGACGACCAAAGCCGACGCCGACGACGACGACGACGACGACGACGACGACGACGACGACGACGACGACGACGACGACGGCAACTGCGGTTGCGAAGAACACGACCACGACCACGACGGCAACGACGACAACAACCGACGACGACGACGACGGCGGCGGCGGCGGCGACGGCGACGACGACGACAGAATGGCCCCCCGACCAGGGCGGGCCCTGGTCTGGGCTGAGAAGGTTGTCCTGGCCCAGCACGTCGCCGCTCCCCAGGACCTGCACCTCCACCTGGGTCGGGGGCAGAAGCAGGAGGGAGAGAGGGTGAGGAGGACGACGAGGCCGAGGAGGAGTGATGAGGAAAGGCCTGGAGGCCTCGCTCGGCAGCTTGACACCTAAGCGACGTCGCATCCACGTCGGATTCACGTCGGGTCCACGTCGGGATCACGTTAGATTACGTCGGACTACGTCGGATTGACGTCGGATCTACGTCGCACGTTCCTTGGGAACATCGTCGCGCCAACGTCACGACACATCTTATGGGGCACACGTGCGGACTGGATGCGAGATAATACCACTACTGCACGTCGCGCGAGGTCTCCAGGACGATCCCCACAAGATACTCACAAGGGGAGGATCGGGAGGAGAAACAGTGAGGGTGACGAGCCGCAGCAGCAGGAGGAGAAAGAGAGAGAGCGCATCCACCGAGGCAAGGCCCCCGGGGTGGACCTGGCAAGGGTCGGTGCGCTGCGGACTCCTGCCGTGACGACGTCGGCCGTGGCTCTTGACACCGCGTGGGCCGTCCAATTTTTTTTGCTTCGCGGGTCGAGCGCGCACCTCTTCCGGTCGAAGCTAAGCGGGCCGCGCGAAGCCTGAAATAACAAAGAGGGGGGGGACAGAAGGAGAGGTCTCACGTCAAGGCAGTGGCGGAGGCAAAGCCTCGGGAACGGGCGGTGCCGAAGACGATGTGCTCGCAAAGGAACGCCCTGGACAGGACGTGGGCCGTCCAGCCTGGCACGGTCTCCTTCCTCGGAGGTCCGCAGGGGGCGCGGGGTCCCGTCTGACGTGCGGACTTCGGGCCGCGGCCTCGCTCCCGCGGGCCCCGAGGCCCGAGACGCGCCCCCGGAGAGAGAGCTAAGCGTTGGAATGCCAGCGCCCGCACCGTCGCGATGCCGAGGCGGCGCACACCTGCCGTGTTCACCGACCTTGGGCGCGGTGTCGACGGCGACAACGACGTATGCAGCGAAGACTGCAATGACGACGACGACGACGACGACGACGACGACGACGACGACGACGACGACGACGACCACGACCACGACCACGACCACGACCAGGACCAGGACCACGACCAGGACCACGACCAGGACCACGACCACGACCAGGACGCTCGACCACGACGCTCGACCACGACGCTCGACCTCGACGCTCGACCACGACGCTCGACCTCGACCTCGACCTCGACCTCGACCACGACCACGACCCCGACCACGGCGGCAGCGGCGGCAGCGGACGGCGACTGCCCCCCGCGGCCCGCCTCCTGGCCCCTCTGCGGCACGGAGACCGACGCCCTGCCGCCGTCGATCAGGAGCAGCTCCCGCCCGGGCTCGCCGCGCTGCACGAGGACCTCGCCCGGGGCGGAGGCCCCTCGCCCAGAGAGAGGGCGCCGCACCGGCGCTCCCCGCCGCGTCGACGCGGCCGCGGCGGCGTCGGACCTCCGCTCGGAAATCGTGCGGCCCGGAACGACCGCGCCTCTCCTAGGAAGGCACCAACTATACACCAACACCGATCCTGGCCAGGATCACCCTGGGCCCAGGATCGGTGTATACGCCCTCCTGCCTTGCGCAAGAAGGCATATACACCGATCCTGGGCCCAGGGTGATCCTGGGCCAGGATCGGTGTTGGTGTATAGTTGGTGCCCTCCGATCTCCGGCGGCGCAAATCGCTCGATGTCGGCAGGCTCTCCGAGCTGCCGGCGGCGCTCCACCTCGGAAGGCCCGCGGCGGGGTCGCCACCGCGCCAGCGCGGCGCGAGCCGGCCGTACAGTCGGGGCGTGGACCTAAAGAACCCTGAGTAAGCTGAGCATTTTCTTAGGGTGGAGGGCTCAGGGTGAAATCCATATGGGCTTCTGCACCTCGAAAATAAATCCGTCTTGTGATTCACCTTTTACAGATCCAAGCCTCGAAAATCCATCGAAACGGCATTTCAGATGTCACCCTTTGCCCTCCACCCCAAAGAACATGCTCAAATAAGGAACGAGGCCTCCCTTTCTGCCCATCAGTTGAACTTTGATTTCCCATCGAAAATCTGAAGAAAGCCTGGGGCAAGCTGTGAAACGATGAAGGAACACAGAGCCCCTCCCCAACGAGAAGGGTTCATCTAGCGCTTACCCAGGGGGGCAACGTCTGATGACCTCAACCACGGCCTCGAGGTGATATTTATTTGTTTTCCTCCTCGAGCGTACCCAGGGGGCAACGTCTGATGCTCTCAACCACGGCCTCGAGGTGCCCCAACGAGAAGGGTTCCTTCTTCAGCGCCCCGACTGTCTACGCCCGCGCCGGCCCCGCGGGGTCCCTCCTGCACGCTGCTGCAGGCGCTGCGCCGCCCGAGCCGAGGGGCCACAGCCGGAGGCCAGTGCGCCTCCTTGGAGGCTGCACGTGCTGCACCAGGGCTGAACCTAAACGGTGTTTTTGTTCGTTGTCGCTTTGTCTTCAATCGTTTTGTCTTCAATCCGCCTCCTCCCTCCTCCTCCTCCTCCTCCTCCTCCTCCTCCTCCTCCTCCTCCCTCCTCCTCCTCCTCCTCCTCCTCCTCCCTCCTCCTCCTCCTCCCTCCCTCCTCCCTCCTCCCTCCTCCTTCTCCTCCTCCTCCTCCTCCTCCTCCTCCTCCTCCTCCTCCTCCTCCTCCTCCTCGTTTCGTCTTCCATCCGCCTTTACCGCAAAACGAGATCGAAGCGAAAACGGCCCACGAAGTCGCCAAAACACCGTTTGGGTCCACCCATGTGCTGCACGCGGCGCCATGTGCTCCGAAGCCCGTGGGACGAGGAAGGTGCCACCTTTCGGCGGTGGACAAACCTCCCTTTAGCAAACCACCCTTCAGTGAAAACGGCCTGGGACCGAAACCGACGGGCCTGGACCCGTAAAAATGACGTCCGCGACGCCCTTTCGCGAACCGAAAGCGGCCAACTCGCTAATCGACGTGTCAGGGTAGGATGTCTATCAACCTCCGAACCTTCCCTCGGGGGCTGGACGTGTTTCGAGGTCTCCCGGATGGGGTCGGAGTAGATATGTGGTCGGGGGACCTCGCCGCATCGCCGATGCTTCGGCGAAGCATCGCCGATGCATTGGCGATGCTTCGGCGACGTCGGCGATGCAGCGGCAACGTCGGCGCGGAAAAGATCGGGCTCCACATCGAGCCGCCTCGCCGATGCATCGCCGATGCGGCGCGATGCTCCGACGCCCTCTGCTCCGACCCCATCGGGGGGGCCTGGAGTGTTGCACGCGCGGCGCCCCTGCTCCGAGGCCCGTGCAAGCGGGAAGGTGCCATCCATCAGGAGGGGAAAAAACACGCACACAGAGACAATGAATCGTCGATTCCCAGGAAGATGTGAGGAAGTATGGGAAGTGGGGGAGAAGACAGACACCCAGAGGATATGGGAAAACATCGGGAATCCTTTTTGAGCGAGCAACGACATATGTACATGTACGCCCTCCGCGGTCTTGAGTGCACGAACGTCCTCGTTCAAACGCCCTCCAGGGGAAGCTAACCGCGTACGCGTACATATGTTGCTGGCCTCTGACTTTTATTTGTGTGAATATACTTGCGTGTCCCAGGGCCCCTCCATGCCACCCTCCCGCGGGATCCGGCTCCCGGCAGGCCCCTGCCCTCCGCACGCGAGGCCCGCCGCGCTCCCGCCCCCCGCCCGCTGCCTCCGCCCTCGCCCGCGGCGTCCGCCCTCCTCCCCGCGGAGCCTCCTCCCCGCCCGCTGCTCGGCCCTCGCCTGCTGCTCCCCTGTCGCGCCGCTGCGAGGCCCGAGCACTGCCACCGCGCGTGCGCCCACTCCGTGTGCATGCTTCGACGTCGCGCGTGTTCGTGCCGTGGGGTGATCCAAGACCCTCCTCGATGGCTCTGGCCGAGAGAACAAAAAAAACAAAACAACCCAAAAAAAAAAAAAAAAAAAAAAAAAAAAAAAAAAAAATGAAACTATTTTAACACACGAAAACACACACACACACACACACACACACACACACACACACACACACACACACAACACACAAACAAAACAAAACAAACAAAAAAACGCCCAAGCGATGCCAAGGAATGCGCGAGGGGAGGGGGGGGCAGACAGGGCACCTCCCTGCGAGGACGCCCCCACCCCCCCCCCGCCCCCTCGGGCCCTGGGCGCCGGGACCGCGGCCTCCCGGCGCGCCAAGAGGGCCCTCGCTGGGCGCCGAAAACTGCGCGCGGGGAGGGGAAAGCGAGTAGGGAGGGAGGGAGGGAGGGAGCGAGAGAGCGAGGGGGGGAAGGAGGGAGCGAGGGGGGGAGGGAGGGAGCGAGGGAGGGAGCGAGGGAGGGAGCGAGGGAGGAGCGAGGGAGGGAGCGAGGGAGGGAGGAAGGGAGGGAGGGAGGGAGCGAGGGAGCGAGGAGGGCTTCGGGGAAGAGCGGCGGTGGCCCAGAGCCTGGGCAGGTCGAGCGGGAAGGCCAGAGGGAGCGGCCTCGCCGGGCTCGTGCTCGGAGCTGGTGAACGCGGCCACGAGGACCGGGTACTCGGACGCCTCGAGCTTCGCGAAGATCGGGAGCTTGGCGACCAGCGCCAGGCCCCGCATCAGCAGCCGGCTGCCCGCGCTCTCCTCCGTGCAGGACAGCACGCGCCGCCGCTTCCTCTCCCACGGGGGGGGGGGGGGCCGAGCGAAGGGCCCCTGCCGCACGAACGCCGAAAATCTACGGAGCAGGAAACGGTGTGGCCAGGAGTCCGCCGCCGGCTGAAGCCCTACACGCCGCCACGCTGGTCCCGGGCGGGCTGTGCTGCCCAGCGGAAGGGGACGAGGAGGGGAGCAGCGGGCAGTCCTCGCCGACCCGGGGGGGGGGGGGGCCCGGGCGGGCCCGGGCCCGCCCACCCTCGCGCGGGGCGCCGCGGGGGCCGCGGCGCGCGGCCGTCTCCGCGCCCTCCGCGCCGCCCTCCGGCCACGGGCCGCCCCGCGCGAGGCGCCACTGCCTCCGCGCCCCCGGCGGGGTGGGGCCCGGCCTGGGGCTTCCCGCGAGGGCCCCCTCCCACGAGAGGCGAAGGGGCCCACGGGGCCCCTCCCGGAGGGCCCGAGGCGCCCCCGGAGCGGCCCGGGATGCTCCCCGAGGCAGCCCCGAGGGAGCCCGGGGCCGCACCCAGGTGGCATCCCCTCCGCGCCCCGGTGCCCTCCGACCCCCTCAGCTTCCGAATGCGCTGGCCTGCCCCCCTGCCTGTTCCCCTCCCCCTCCCCCTCCCACTCCCCCTCCCCCTCCTCCTCCCCTCCAATCTGTCCTGCCCCGCCCCTCCCACCCTAGTTCCTCCCACCCGCCTCCCTCCTGAATCCCCGCCTCCCTCCCCGCCACACTGCCCTCCCCCTCTTCCCCCTGCCCGTCCCAAGGCGAGTGAGCCAGAGGGCAGAGGGAGGAGGAAGGAAGAGAACGAGACCAAAGAGGGAGGACCCTCGCGGAGAAGGAGGAGGGCGATGGGATAAGGATAGGAGGAGAGACAAGAGAGCAGCGAGGAGCGAGGAGGGAGAGAGGAGTGTGGGACAGGAGAGAGAGAGAGAGGCAAGAAAGAGGAATTGAGGGATAAAGGAGGCAGGGAGCGGAGAGGAGGAGAAAGAAGAACGGAGGTATAGCAAGGAAGAGGAGAAAGGGAGAAAGGAAGAGAGAGGAAAAAACAAGGGAGGCCACAGGATGTGGGAAGAAGAAATCAGAACGGTGAAGGAGGTAACGACCGTAAAGGAAGGCCCGCAGAGGCAAGAAGGCAAGGGTGGCAATGAGAAGGAAGTGGATTCGTGTTGTGGGCTCGGAACAGCCTCCGCGTCTGAAGCCCATGAAACGGCGCAAACATCAGTTCGGGAGAAGACCGCGAGAATCTCTTGGGCTCGGCGCTGGACCCCCTTCTGGCCTTGGGGCAAAACAAACATACCTCGCTTTTGACCACCCTCGCTTCCAAGAGATACCAAGCGATGCCAAACCACGGCCTGTACTGGTCTGGCCGCTTGACGAGGAGGCGCGTGGTATGACTTGGTTTTGCCTGGAAGCGAAAGCGGGGTAGGTAATTCACGCTCTGATGATTACACACCCTGGCGGCATCCTCAGCGCTGCCCCCGGCACGCCCCACGAAACAGGGGGGCTCTGGCGCCGACCCAACAGGTCCACGTGGACCTCCGGAAACTACCATCGACAAGGGGCCACACAAGGACGCAGGCCGAGTGCACGGCCCCCTTCACCACAGGCCCGAGGCCTCCTGGAGCTGCCCCTCACGAGCCTTCTGTGGCGGAGGTGGCGGAGAGCCCAGACGCGAGGAACGGAGAGGCACCCTTCCGATGCTGGGGCCGGCTGCACGCTCATGCCAGTTTTATCGGGCGTTGGCAGGAGGAGGAGGAGGAGGAGGAGGAGGAGGAGGAGGACGAAGAGGATCGGGCGTTGGCAGAACTGGGTTTAGTGGGACCTGGTTTAGTGATGTGCACTGGGGGACGCCCCCCTCGCCCCGTTCCACTGACCGGAACTGCCGTCGCCCGAAAAAACACCAGCTGCGGCAGACCTGGTTTAGTGATTCTGGCCAATTTAGGTGCTCCAAGGCCCTACTACTAACCTGGTCCCCTTACTGGGGGTCCTGGCTATACCCGATGTTAGGGGAACGAAGAATGGCATAAATGATACCAGAGAAAAACCCCAATCAGGGCTATAGGGCTAGGGGGCTATAGGGCTATAGGGCTATTGAGCTATAGGGCTATAGAGCTATAGGTCTATAGAGTTGTAGGGCTATAGGGCTATTGAGCTATAGGGCTATGGGGCTATAGGGCTATAGGGCACCCCCGGGCACCCCCAGACACCCCCGGGCACGCCCGGGCACCCGGGCACCCGGGCACCCGCGGGCACCCCCGGGCACCCGGGCACCCGGGCGTGCGTGCAGCGAAAATCGGCGGCAAACCTAACCTAACCATATGAATATTGAGCTATAGGGCTATAGAGCTATAGGTCTATAGAGTTGCAGGGCTACAGGGCTATTGGGCTATAGGGCTATAGGGCACCCCCGGGCACCCCCAGGCACCCCTGGGCACGCCCGGGCACCCGGGCACCAGGGCACCCGGGCACCAGGGCACCCCCAGGCACGCCCGGGCACCCGCGGGCACCCGGGCACCCGGGCACCCCCGGGCACCCCTGGGCACCCGGGCACCCCCAGGCACCTGGGCACCTGGGCGTGCCGCGAAAATCGGCGACAAACCTAACCTAACCATATGAATCCGCTAGGACCTCTACAGAGACAAGCTCTGATTGGGGAACATAAAAACTCGGAGATACGCGCGGGTTTCTCTGGTCGGCGCTGGACCCCGAGCGCGCCAGGGGCGGCGCCGGAGGCGCCGCCAGTCCAGCGCCGATCCGAGGAATACGCGCGGACCTCTGATTTTTTAGGCTCATGTCATGGTTGCTCGTTCCCGTAAGTTTGGCCCTTCCGTCCGTGCCGGCCGATCCTTCTCAGCCCGCTGTCGCCGTCCAGGCTGTCCAGGCTGCCCGCGCGCGGACGGTTGCCCACCACGGCGCTCGCCCCAGGGGCCTGGCGGGATCCAGGCCCTAATGGCTTCCGCGCCCCGCGCCGCGCACGGCGGGCTTGCGCGCCTCGCGCTCCTCGGATGCTCCACCCGGTCGGGCGCGACTGGGACACCTCGGGCGTCACTGCTGATGCCGGGGTGATCCAGGTCGCTGTCTGCAACCGCAGGCACCACGAGGAACGGTGCGAAGTGACATCTTCCGCCTCGGAGGAACCCTGTCCCGGTGGCGGCCGAAGGGTTCACGCCAGCACACGCCGTGAAGTGCGGAATGAACTGTCCAGCTGCCCTGGACAAGCGCCCCCCGCGGCAGAAAACTTCGGGCTACAACTATTGATTCGTCCGCCGGCCAAGCAGGGGGAGCCTTCCGACGAGGGCCAGAAACGCCGCACCGCATTGCCGATGCATCGGTGACGCACCACCGACACTGGGATGGAGGAAATCGGGTCCAAATCGCGCGGCATCGCCGACGCGTCGGCGATGCGGCGCGATCCTCCGACCTAATCCACCCCAGACTTCACGCTGCCTGGAAACAACTCCCCAGACAGGACGAGCAAGCGCGGAGCAAGGTCATTCACGCCCAAGCGGGAGGCTAGCAGGACGAGGGAGTCGGCTTCGGGTTCGGGTGGTCCGCGAACCTTTCAAACAACTGGAGACTACTGGGAAGCTGGAGCAGGATGAGTGAAAGAACGAGCAAGCACCCACCAGGGCTGGACGAGTGCGGGGGAGTAAATGCAGAAGGCATCTCAATACCAGCACAGGACCTGGCCAGGAACGTCCTGGGCACTGGCATGGCGTATGTAGACGCCTTTCCTGGTGGAGGACAAGAGATCTTCGCGTACACAATCCCAGGGTCTGTGAAAGCACCGGCCAAAAATGGTGGTGGAGTGTAGACACGGCCCTCCACGGCGACGGCGCGACCGAAAACCGCCCGAACCGACAGCGAAACCGAAACCGACCGACACCAGATCTGCAAGCAGCATCCGAGCAGGACGCAGCGACGCGGCGACAACGCAGCAGCCGCTCGAGCCAAGCGGGCCGAACACACCACCGACTGCGACGCGGCCGAACCGACCGGACCGTGGATATCTTTCGTAAATGTCTTCTGCGGGGCGGGGGAGGGTCGGGTCGGGCGAAAGGGGGGGATAGCAAAGGGGGGGGGGAGAATGAGCTCACGTAGCTGATTTTCCGGGCGCCTCCTGGCGCCGGAGGCGGCCACGTATCGAGGAATGGGCCCCTCCGTGGGGCCGAAACCAGCTGCATGCGGCAAATCTCGTAGCCCCCCCTTTCCCAATCCCCCCCCCTTCGCTCGGCCCGACAAAAGGAGGAGGAGGAGGAGGAGGAGGAGAGGAGGAGGAGGAGGAGGAGGAGGAGGAGGAGGAGGAGGAGGAGAGAGGAGGAGGAGGAGGAGGAGGAGGAGGAGAGGAGGAGGAGGAGAGGAGAGGAGGAGGAGGAGGAGGAGGAGGAGGAGGAGGAGGAGAAGGAGGAGGAGGAGGAGGAGGAGGAGGAGGAGGAGGAGGAGGGAGGAGGAGGAGGAGGAGGAGGGAGGAGGAGGAGGAGGAGGGCGGAGGCCCGAAAAGGGCAGGAGGGGGAGCAGGAGGGGCAGCAGCAGCCGCAGCAGCCGCCGCAGCCGGGACGGGCCTCGCCCGCCGAAGCGGTTCCAGGGTCGGGGGGCTTGGCCTTTGTCGGCGGCGCGGCAGCGCGAGCGGTGAGGCGAGGGGGGGGCGGCCTTTTGTCAGAAGGCAGGGAGGCCAGCAGAGAAATCCACCACTCCCCCGGGGCAGAAGCGCGTCTGGAGAGCGGGAGGCTGGTCGACGCTGGGCACTCCTCCCCACGCCCTTCCCCTTCCGCCAGGGGCATGGGGAGGGGGGCTCTGCGCCGACCAAAGATCCGCGCGGAGCTCCGCAATCTTATGCTGATAGGACCGCGCCCAACACCTGTCCTGGCCATTCTTCCGAGCAGCGTCAAGCCGCGTCCACGACGGTCCTCCCCAGGAGGCGTCAAAGGACCACGAGACCGTCGAAGGCCTGGAAGAGTCGTACCTCCTGGAAGCCTTCTGATGCAGTCGGCCCATCCTCGCCCCGCCCCCCTCCCCAGACATCCGCGATGCAATTTTGTCCGAACTGTGGGCCACGGACCTCTCGACCCCTCTCCCCTTGCAGCAGCTCTTCGCCCCGGAACCTCATCCTGAAAAAAACGCAAAAATAACTCCTTTTCCCGCAGGCTGCATGTACATACAGACGCGCTGCGCTGAAATACTTTCTCTCTCTCTCTCTCTCTCACACACGCGCGCGCGCACGTACACACACACACACACACACACACACACACACACATCGCCGCTATCGGCCTCGTTACCCGAAGAATTCGTGGGCTCTTGCGCCGACCTCTCCCGCCAACCCCGACTGGGCGGCCGCGGGCGCCCCGCGGGCGCCCCGTGCGTCGGGGTGGGTTCCTCGAAGCCTCGCCGGCCCCGTGGGCGGCCCGTGCGCGGGGTCAGCCTGCCGAACATTCGCACGGCCGGCGGCCGTGAGCGCCTCGTGGGCGCCCCCTGGGCTGGGCGACCGCCTCGTGGGCGCCCCGTGGGCTGGGCGCCCCGTGGGCGCCCCGTGGGCGCCCCGTGGGCGCCCCGTGGGCGCCCCGCGGGCGCCTCGTGGGCGCCTCGTGGGCGCCTCGTGGGCGCCACCACATCGCGTTCATCACATGGTCTCCACCATACACGTCTCACCACACAGCAGGAGCCGCTCACACGGCTCACACCACACAGTGCGCATTGCAAAAAGATATTGCGCCATGTGGCCTCCACCCCTGCAACTTGCAGCGCGCAGCAGCGACCACCAAAATTACACCACACATACGTTCGTTCCAACAAGAACGTCAACTCCACCACCATCCCCCCCGTCGTCCCCGGGCTCATCGACCCTCCTGAATTACTGCAGTGTCAAAATGATCCTGCGTTACCGCTCCTTCCCCGTATGACGACATACCATCCCAGCTAAGCGCGCACCCTGTTTCGCTTATTTATGTGTGTGCAGTCGGGGGTTAGAGCGGTAGCTCATCGGGAATAAAGGGGAGCCACAACTCACGTTGATCACTCACTCTGGGCTTCGCCCCTTCTTACTCCCTCTACTCGTTGGCCAAAGCTGTTGACAGAGCTTCGAATGCCTCGAGACAACGGCACCAGCATGCGCGAGCCCCAAGACTCACCCCGAGGCCACGGCAGGAATCACACCTCAAGTGTACCACCGTCGCACAACGACCGGGGTCAGAACGCCGCCCCAAGCGGGCCTCGAGAGGGAGCAAACTCGCACCACGCTGTGCCCAGAAGCCCGAGAGAAGCTCTCGCGAGACGCTGAACGAGGCAGAACGGCCAGGCAGAGAAGATGCCTGGACGGCATTGCACAGGGCGGATGTGGGCGGGCCACAAAGGCTGCGCTGCCATGCATTCTGATGCGGCCAACGTTCGCTCATTACCCCTTCGCCCACACATTGACCGTAAACGTGTTCATGTGTGCGCAGGCGGGGGTTAGAGCGGTAGCTCATCGGGAATAAAGGGGAGCCACACCTCACGTTGATCACTCACTCTGGGCTTCGCCCCTTCTTACTCCCTCTACTCGTTGGCCAAAGCTGTTGACAGAGCTTCGAATGCCTCGAGACAACGGCACCAGCATGTGCGAGCCCCAAGACTCACCCCGAGGCCACGGCAGGAATCACACCTCAAGTGTACCACCGTCGTACAACGACCGGGGTCAGAACGACGTCCCAAGTGGGCCTCGAGAGGGAGCAGACTCGCACCACGCTGTGCCCAGAAGCCCGAGAGATGCTCTCCACTCCAAGAACACCCGAAAAGCTCTCCAAAAAGCTCTCCAATGTGTTCCGAAATATGGCTGAAAGCCGCCCACAAGTTCCTGGAGAGTCGCACCTGGCTTAGATTCGAGGTTATTTGCTGCAATACGCCCGAACACGGGCAATCAAGGTATATGTGAAGGTCTGGAGCGAAGAACGGGTGGCAGGCTGAAATCGCATCTCGGCCAAAATTGCGGCCCCATCTTGGATATAAATCTTTGCTGTCCTCATTGAGCTCCAACGACCTCAAAGCATCACTTTAGGCAAGTCGCCTGAGAACAAATATTCGTGCGTAAATCCGCCTCTACGCAAACTATACGGGACGAGGCCGAGATGCGCGCAACCAATCTCTCGAAGGCCAGTGCGAAAAAGCAAATGAAAGGCACGAGGAGGCGAGGGCCACAGACGGCCGTCACGCTGCAGCTGCATATGGACGACTGCTCCTACGAGCGAGTCATCCAGCGTCACTTTCTCTCGTGCTCCCTTCTGACAGGCTGTCGTAGCCCAGGGCAACGACACCACGCCTCTGCCGCAAGGCTTGAGCTGAATGACGCCGCTGGAGAGGCCGAGAGCCTCGCCTGTCCGAAGGCAGAGGTGGAAGCCGGCGAGGATCGTCGCGGCGAAGGCGATCTCTCCGCGGCCCAGCGCCCAGCCTGCGAGCGCGCGGCACACCAGCGGCGGCATCGGTGGCGCACGCTGCGGCACCTCTAGGCGCCCCAAGACTGACAGCAATCTCCACGCGCCTGGGCACTGTCGGCGCGTCCTCAACAGGCGCTGTACTCCACTCAGTGCATCGTTAGCTTGACCTTTAGTGGCACCTTCGGCCCAAGAGTATTCAAGGTAGTCTTGTAATGTGACATCCATGTCTTCCCAACTGAACGGCAACGGCAGATTCATGGCGTTAAGGTAGTCAACAAACTGCTGGGCTGCCCGACGATATCTGGCGAGAGTGGCAGCGCCGATCCGGGCATCCCGCAGCTTCCCCAGGCCAGCTCTGGTTGTGCGCCTGTCGGCGGGGCTAGATTGCTTCCCCATGCTTCAGGCGCGACGGTGCGTCCGCGGGGTTCCGAGCTGACGAGGTGAAGCTGAACACCGCACGCGCGCCCATCGCTAGCTCCCAGGCCAAGAAGCTGCGCATAACCTTGCTGAGCTGACTGCTGCTGGGGCGGCGCTTCGAGAGAGCACCGATGTTGACCATGCTGTCGCGGAAATGCAAGAAGACTCGCTGCTGTCGGCCAAAGCTTGAGCACGCCATCGAATCATCATCAGCGCCCCCTGGCACTCCAGCACATGGATATGTTCAGGGAGATCCCACACCAGCTCTCGTGCCTTACTCCACTGCCAAAGACCTGAATCAATCTCTTGCTGAAGGAACACTTTGCTGAGCTCCTCAGAGCTTTTGTCACAACGAAGGTTCGCACCATCACCGTGGCACGCCATCACAAGACTAGTCGCCAGCCTACGCGAGACATCCGAATCACGCCAGAACGCAGCATCCCGTCTGGCCAGCTCTGCAAGCAGCACATCTGCATGACATGTCTCGGACTGACTGCAGTGGCCAACCAGCTTGGCCCCACGCAAGTCCCTCAGGTGGCGAAGCAGCTCGGGCTGGCCGCGCGGCCATCCAGCAAACAGCGCCGTGTCCTCGCGGGAGTAGCTCGGGCTCACTGCGAACGGGTTGCCGAAACAGGACGGGGCGAGGCTCCAGCGCCGTGAGCCGCGCACGACGTAGACGAGACTGCCGCCCGTCGCCGGCGCCGCCGCGGCGGGCCGCTCACCCGCCCGCTGGCGTTCGCTCGATGCGGCTGCGCTGCGGGCCACCAGCTCGCCGCAGACCTCCGAGCCGACCTTCACACGGCTGCATCGCAGCGAGGTGACGTCGCCAGCCCACGGCTTGCGCCCGCCAACCCAGGCCCGAGCGCTCTCGCGCAGCTCGGAGAACGGCGGCACCACCACCAGCAGCCCAGCAGCGACAGCCCAGTGCGCCAGCAGCCACGCCACCACCACGCACTGGAACGAGTTGCCGACCAGCGAACGCCTCAATCCCTCGTACTTGACGGGCTCGGCCTCCGCCTCACTGCTGGTCCTGCGCGGCACGGTGCGGCCTTCGGCGACGCCCATCAGCTTCTCCCTCATCACCGCGCCAGAAGGCGCAAACCGTCCGTCAGGCCAATGAATGCACCACTTGTCATGGAACTGGCGGGGCGGCGCCGCGAAGGCCGCCTCCTCCCAGCGCATTATCTCAGCAGCCGTGCACCCCCCGATGCCCGCGGGCCTGGGGCGCGGCTGCGAGCGCGGAGTCCAACGAGCGAGCGCTGGAAGGGGCGCGCCCCCCTCCGCTCCAGGACAGCGCGCGCCTGCGGGCAGCCACTCCTCCAGCGGCGGGCGCTCCACCTCCAGCGACACGCGGCACAGGCGGCGAGAGGCCACGTCCTTGGTCAGCACCATCACGGTCTTGGCCTCGCACGACGGCAGCAAGTCCCAGGACAGGCAGGAGAGACGAGGACGCCTCACCCAGCCGACGTCACCAGCATCAATCTCCAAGGGGGTCCGCTCGAACAACCCGCTGAGGTGAAGGACGTCGGACTCTACCATTGATGCAACATTTTTGCCAAGGAAGTTAACGCTCACCTCGGGCATGGCTGCACGCAGACCTCGGATGACCCTCACCATATGATCGACCAGCGAGGCGCGCGAGTCCGACGAGCCCTTGCGGTCGACGTTCAAGCTCGCGTAGATCTGGCACGGGAAGCCGCCGATGACCACCGCGCGGGCGATGCGGCCGCGGGCCCGCAGTAGGCTAGCCAAGGCAGCGGGGTCAGCAGATGTAACATCCCCGAGGTGCTGTGCGTCAGGATAAGCGCGCCGCGCAACGCGGACCGCCTGCGGGTCAATCTCAAACGACAGGTGAACCGCTGGTACCAGGCCCAGTATCTCGAAGGCTCCGCGCCCGCCGCCGATGCCATCAAAGACGGTGATCAGGGCGGTCTCCTCCTCGCGGGCGGCGTTCGCGGGCCGCTGGCGTCTGCCCGCGACGACACGCCCGCGCTCGGTAAGCGCCGTGCTGTACACCACGGCCCCAGCGGCCTCCGACGCGTCCGAGGCCGTCACCAGGTGGTCGACCTCGAGCCTCATGCCGATCACGCAGAGCCCCGACAAGGCCAGGCCCATCAGCAAGTCCTCGATCACGCTCACGCTGAAGCGGCCTCCACAGCGCGGGCCGTTGAGCCACTTCCAAGTGTAAGCGAAGCTCGCGGCCAGCGGGCGGCGGACGCAGTGCCCGCGACCCCAGCGTCCAGGAAGAATACGTTTCAATTGCATGATGGCCCGCCTCTTGCCCAGAACCCAGAGCGCGAGGCTGGCCTTCACAGCGATGTATCCCGCCGGCGGCCGACGGACACCTTCAACGCCATCAACAAGCTCGCCCCGGCGAGGTAGCGCGCACCACGCGGTGCAGGTCCTTGCCCGGGGACCCAGGCGACCTTGTGGCCTCGTAGCAGGCACGAGGATCAGACAGCAGCTCGGGGACCGCCCCGCGCAGCTTGTCGGCCTCAGATTTGTCAACGGCCTCGGCGATCTCCAAGTGGCCGATCATCACCCAGGCAGGCGGGCAGGGCTTCTCTGCACCAAGCGGCAGGCGGCGGCGCCGGGTAATCTCCCAGCCGGGGCACAAGCCGCGAGGCACCGCGCTGCTGCGACGCAGTGTGTTGCGATGAAGATGAGTCGTAACCCCCACCGCGATGAACCAGCCCATGCCGATCACGCGCAGGCAGATGTGGGCAGCGCCGCCGTCCTTGAGACCCAGTCGGCGCGACGGCGCTGGCGGCCCGACCCCCATGCACGGCCACCACGGCGGCGGCGCGCGGAAGGCGTAGAAGAAGGCCTTCATGTCGGCGCCGCTCCACACCAAGTCCCCAGACTCCGTCAAGACCAGGCCGTTCAGCTGGCTCATCGTCGGCATCTCGGGCGCGTCGCCAATGATGCACTCTTGGCAGGCGTTCGACGGGATCAGATTGGAGATGAGCCTGAGTACGGACCTCAGCACCCCGTCCTGGCACTTGACAGGGGCGTCGTGGGCCCGCACTGAAGTCGGCGCCGCGCGGCTCAGCGCAGGCGGCAGTAGCACCAGCCCAGAATCCAGCAACGAGTCGCGCACGAAGCCCGTCGCGACCTTGGCAGCCTCAATCGAGGCCGCAACCCCAGGCGGCGGCAAGCCGTCCAGCACCTGCTCCAAGGTCAGCTCATGAGGCGCGGTGATCTCGGCGCCGCCGTAGCCGATCTTGCAGTCCTTCAGGCGGTCCCCCCAGTTGAGCTCTGCAGGCAGGCTGGTCTCGATGCGCGTCGCCAGGTACAGGGGGCGACACAGGGCAGCCAAGGCTGCCCGCTGAGCAGCGCTCGGGCGCCTGCGGCAGAGGCGCGCGAACTTCGGCGAGCGGAAGCCTGCCTCCCCGTTGAGCGCCAGCACCGTGACAACCAGCCTGCAGTCGGGCCCCTCCCAATTCAAGTCGCTAAGGTCATCGCCGTCGCACACGACGTCGGTCTTCACGATGGCAGGGTACGGTAACGACAGCAAGTCACGTTGCAACCGGCCCCCCATGGTGGCCATGTGCTCGCGCAGCCGAGGTTTGAGGGAGTCACGGAAGTAGCGACCGAATGAACCAGGGAAATCCTTGACGAGGTTGAGAAGGATCGGGCCCACGTCATAAGGCTCACGGAGCAAGTCACCAGCAGCCCCAGTAAGCTCTCTCCAGTCCTCCAGTGGATCGCGTCGAGAAGAGTTCTCGTCAGCAGCGGCAGGCGGCAACTCCAGCGGGGTCGCAGCGCAGTGGTCAGATAGCGAACGCGACGGCGAAGCCCCAGGCGGTCCGCACGGCGCAGCAGCCTGCAACGCAGCGGCTGCTGCGTCCCGGGCGTCATCAGCAAGGGCATCGTCACCACGGGATTTCACCGCGCCGCCGCCGGGGGGCCGGCCCCGCGGCCACCAGGCGGGCGGGGCCGCGAGCCGTTGGCCCCCCCTGCGTTGCGTCCCCTGCCGCCGCGACGTCTCGGGCGAACGCGTCCTGCCCCCTGGGGGCCGACGCCGCCGCCGCTGGCTCGTCCTGCCTGAAGGTGCGGCGCTCGGGGCCCCCCGCTAGCACAACTCGGCGCGGGTGAGGGCTGTCTCCTCGGGGGGTCCGCTCCGCCTGACGGAGTCCGCGCGCGGGGGCCTGAGGGCGCCGCGGCGGGCGCCTCCTCGGCCCGAGGCGCTGCCGCTGGCGACCCTGGAGCGTGAGCGGGGCTGCTCCCTCGGAGCGGGAAGTAGCGGAAACGCCCGCGACCTCGACCCTTGCCCTTGCCGCGCGAGAGCTCCCGCGCTGGCTGGAGCGCGGCTCGAGAGGGGGAGCGCGGCCGCTGGTCCTCCCGCGCCCCCCCCATCGGGTCACCCGCGCCCCTGGCCGCGGCCGAGCGCCCCGAAGGCCCCGCGGCTCTTGGCCTCCTCCAAGCGCCTCCTCAGCAGCGCCGAGCGCCGCGCCAGATCCTGCTCGTCCATCGACGCCAGCGACGGCCTCACGTCCGGGACGATCTCGAGCTCGCTCGCAACCTGCCAGCCCGCGTCCGACAGCGAGAGCTCCAGGGCCTTGAACCTCTGCATCAGCACGTCGCTCAGCTGCGGCAGAGAGCCGCTCTCCAACTGGTCCAGCGCCGTCGCCAAGGTCTGGAGCTCCCGCAATGTGTTGACCCGCAGCTGGGACACGGGATGGTGGCCGAACACGATGGCCTGCAAATAGCCAACCACCTTCGGCCTCGTCTCGGAACCGTCCGCCCCCCCCCGCAGGCCCATGACGCGGGCGATGTTCTGCATCGCCTCGTCGTAGAGGGCGCCAGGCTGTCTCTCCGCCAGCAGCCGCACGCTGCCGCCGCGAGAGGGGGCGTCGCGAAAACGCGGCCCGCCTTCGCCATCACTGCGGCTGCCAGATTCACTGCGAGCCCGACGCCTGCCGCGGCCTGTCACCCCGCGGCTGCCACCGCCTCCGACCGCAAGCGCGCGGGCAGCTGCTGCCGCCGCCAGGCGTTCGGCGGCGGCTCCGCCGGGGATGGGAGAGGGACCGCCTCGACCAGCTCCCCCGCCACGGCCGCCGAAGACGCTCGGGCACACCCAGGGCTCCACCAGCCCGTGGGTCGAGCGCAGCCGCAGCCACTCCACGTGCAGGACGGCACGGCCCGCCTGCACAGGCTCGCCACACCGCGCAGGCCCCTGCGCGCAGAGGTGCAGCAGCCCAGCAAGACCGCCGCCCCGCGGAGGGAAGGCGCCGTCAAAGCGCATCGCCTCGGCGGGCAACGACGCGCCCCTGAACTGCGCGCTGAGATACTGACCTCCAGCACCTGGCACACCGACCTCATCGATCTCGAACAGCGCGGTCCCACTGATCGCCCCCGTCGCCTCGTGGGTCTGCAGCTCCACGGCCAGGCCCTGGCTCCAGTTGGCCCCGATGAGGGTAGAGGCCTGCGCCCAGGCTCCGTCGACGAACCCGCCAAGCTGCAGCCCCGCAGCCGGGACGACCGCGCCTCCCAACACGCCGAGGGCAGCGCCCGGCCCCGCGGGACCAGCGCCAGGCGGCGCGCCCGCGCCTCCAGCACCGCCAGCGCCTGCAGCGGCCAGCGCCCCAACCAGCGCCGCTCCAACGCCGCCGCCGCCGCCGCCACCCGCGCCGTCGCCAGGCGCCCCGAGGACAGGGGGGGGGGGGCGCCCGCGGCGCCCACGCCGACGGCTCCAGGCAGGCCAGGGAAGCCGCCGAGCCCCGGCACCACTGGCGCCCCAGCAGCGCCACCTCCAGCCCCCCCGCCAGCAGCACCTCCAGCTGCGGGCGCGAGGCCGCCTCCGAGGCCGACGGGCGCCCCTGCCGCTCCAGCAGCTGCGCCAACGCGCCCGCGAGCGCCACGTCCTCCGCCACAGCCAGCGCCTCGCCCGCGGGCGGCAGCGAGAGGCGCAGGAAGGGCCTTCGCCTTCGCCTTCGCCTTTGGCCTTGGCCTTGGCCTTAGGCGGCATCAGGCGACAAGGTCGACACCGCCGTGATCTGCGCCGCCAGCAGCCGCGCCTGCTCGACGAGCAGCGCTCGCTCCTGCGGCGCCAGCCGCGCCTCGCGCGCCCCTTGGCGCGCCAGCGCGAGGAGGTAGCACACTTCGTACACCTCCAACAACGTCCCGCCCTCCGCGAGGGCCAAACTCTCGCCCTCGGCGAGGCGCCCAGCGCACCAGCCGCAGATCCGAGGCCGCTGGGCCCGCGGGGCGGTGGAGAGCGCGGTGGCGCAAGCAGGGAGCATCCCAGGCCTCCCAGGCCCTGAGCCACAAAGGCTGCCATGCATTCTGATGCGGCCAACATTCGCTCATTGCCCCTTCGCCCACACATTGACCGTAAACGTGATCATATCAAACGATGTCACGCACACACAATATTTCATGTCAACAGATCATGCTGCAAAAACATGTTTGCTTTACCCCTCAAAATAAACATGCGCGCACATGTCGAAATCCAACACTGCCAATGTTCTGGCCGCGAGATTTTACCGAAGTCACAAGAGAACCATAAGAGTTTTGTCGCCTTGCCCAGAATCCGCATTTTCATCTCACCCGGCGGTGCACCCGCATTGCCTTCGCATGCGCCCAGATCACGATTCCGTTGTTTCTTTACAAAAGAAACACAACAACAAAACAAAACAAACAAACAAAAATGCGGGCCATACGCGCGCGCAGGATCGCACAAGGGTCGAAACCTCAACATCGCAACTCCGGTTAGAAGAATTGCCGATGAAGGCTCTGCGAAATCAACTGGAACATCCGTGATCAATAAAAGGGTTCCCGGTTCCCTGAATGCCTGCACGCACGCAAGTCCGCACCATCATCCTCGCCAACGCCATCGCATCACCACCGCTATCGTTTCCGTAAATCGTCACAGTTGCCACCATCCTCACCCAATCACTCTCTTCACCGATACATGAATTTACTTCATCATCGTCATCGTCGTCACGAACGTCGGCGCCGTCATTGGCCTTGCCGTCGTCAACCGCCAGCCACCATAGCTGCTAGCATTATCGTTTCCGCCGCTGTCGACGTCATCATGATATCGCTCCCGCCAGAATCACCGACTCGCACTGAAGTGCCCGCGCGCCAGCGTGGCCTTTGGCACGCAGAGTGAAGTTCCCAGCGGTGAGCGCCACTGCGGCTGCCGCATAATGTTTGCCAAACAGGCTGGCCGCTCTGCGCGCGAGCTTGCGCGCGGCAGTGCGGCCGCAGGCATGCGCCAGCCTGTGACGAGCAGGCACCACAAACGCAGCCAAATGAGTTTTGTAAAGCGAGTTGCGGGTGGGAGGGTGGGGTGTTTGCACGAGCAGTGGAGTTGACGACTTCAAGTCGGACAATATCAAATTGCACCGCATAGCGTACACCACCCAACTTAGTCAGCACAGGCTGCACCGCATAGCTGACACCACAAAGCCTACACCACACACATTCCCACTACAACAAATCTATGGGTCCACCCCCGCGCGAGCCCAGACTTAACCCTTCGTGGTGCAACCGACATTTGAACATGCCTCACCGTGTATTTCCATACGGGCTCATAGCATCCCAACATTGACAATATCGCACCCCCACTTCCCAACGAAATCCACACGCGCGCGGATGTCGAATCCATACCATTCACAATAAGTGTGTAATCACTGTGGCCGACAAACAATAAAGCACGAGTGGATGTTGACCAAACACGCTACCTGAGTTCTGCCAGCATGCACATGTTGCAAACATCATAGAGTAATGCGACATTACACATCTCGTCCACGACCAGCAGTATCCCTTGACCACGGGGTACCCCCGCGTGGACCCAGCACGCGCCCATTGCGCGAGCCCATATGAAATCAATCGTACGGACCACACGCACGCGCCACCACGTGCACAGCGAAAGATGTTCAAACCAAGTGGTGCTCGAAGTAGTTCAACGTAAGACTTTGTGACATATCTAAAACAAATCAATAGTTGTTCAACGAACGGTTGGCCAGATTGCTTGGGTTTCTGCGCGCACGCAGTTTATCCTTACTCTCACTCACGCCGTCGTCACACCACCGCTAGCATCGCCAGTCGCCACCGTTGTCGCTAGCCTCAACAAAACCAATTTCACATGGACATCCTCAGCATCACCACCATCAGCCATCAGCATCAGCATCAGCATCAGCATCATCATCAGCATCATCATCATCATCATCAGTATCATTGTCATCCTCATTTTCGTCATCGTCATCCTCGTCATCATTAGCATCATCGTCATCGTCATCGTCATCATCGTCGTCAGCAGCATCATCAGCATCAGCATCAGCAGCATCCTCATCGGCAACATCAACAGCTCATCATCGTCATCATCAGGATCAGCATCATCAGCATCATCAGCATCGTTATCAGCATCAGCATCATCATCATCATCATCATCATCATCATCATCATCATCATCATCAGTATCATCATCATCATCATCATCATCATCATCATCATCATCATCATCATCATCAATCGCATCGGCGCCGTCACTCGCATTGCCGTCGTCAGCGTCACCATCGCCACCACCATCTCTACTACTATCGCAGATTTGCTTCCTACGTAGAAGACGTCATAATATCGCGCCCGCCCGAGTCATCAAACCGCACGGAAGTGCCTGCGCGCCAGCGCGTCCTTTGACACGCGATAGGACGCTCCCATCAGTAAATTTAGCGCCATCGCGGCCACACCAGCTGCGCGAAACCAGCTAGTCGCTCACGTCAGCGCGGCCGTAGAGACGCGCTAGCTAGTTGCAATCAGGAACCGCAATCGTGGTCGAAAGAGTTTTGCCGAACAAATTGCAGGTAGGAGGGTGGAGTGTTTGCACGAGCACAGGAATAAACGACTTCAAGACGGTCGAAGTTAATTGCACTGCAGCATTAACGCCATATAGCTTTCACAACATTGATTGCACCACATGGAGTGCACCACCTATAGAAAACCACATAAGTGGCACCACATATCTTGCC